GAGACCACCAGGAGATTTGAGGGCTGTCAGCTAGAGTGGGAAGAAGGCAACAGGGAATCACTTCTTGTACTCTTGTTGACAAACCACATTAGTGTCTTTTATCGGTGGGAAATTTGGTTTCAGTTTCCTCCACCACCCCGACCCTGCTGATTTAAATTACAAATTACAAATTCACTGAAAGGGTTTTTTTCCCATTCCCAGGAAATATTGTCAGTATAATCAGTTACGCTTTTTTAAAAAACACACAAATATCTCCAAGATTCAAACTGCTTTCAGAAGTACAAGTAATCCTCGCTTAGTGACCACAATTGGGATCAGCAACTCTGTCGCTAAGTCCCACAGTTGCTAAGTGAAAAATCACATGACCATGATGGACTTACAACCTCACTTCCCTTTGGTCATTAAGCAAGTCACCGCGGGTCCTTAAGCGAGACGTCACATGACTGCGGATTTCACTGCTGGCTTCTCCATTGACTGCTTGTCAGAAGGCGGTTGTGAAGCATGCAAATGGCAGTCATATGACCATGGAATGCTGCGACGGTCATAAATGCGAGGATTGATTGCAAAGCTGGCTGGGGTTTTTTTTTTACACTGTCATAACTTCGAACGGTTGCTAAACAAGGCAGTTGGTAAGCAAAGACTGCCTGTAATTGTTTGGGGTGCTCATTTTCTACCTCTTACCCTTGAGAATTTTCTTTGCCAGAGCCTTGAAAAACATTGTCTTTCCCAACCTAGAGCCCTGCAGGCAGCAGAACTCTGAGAATTCTCATGTTCTGGCTGGGGATTATGGGTTTAATCCCACTGGTCCCTTGTTTTGCCTTTTTCCCTTGACTGTTTTCCCCCTCTGAAGGCTAATCTTAAAAGGAGACTGATGGCTTCAAAACGATGACTTTAGGTCACCTGACAGCCTCACTGAGGACTAGAGGTTTGGCCATTTTGTAAGAGGTGCTTTGGCCCTAGTGCAGGATGCTGGGAGGGTTACCCGTGTTTTTTTGTGTGGGAGGATATCAGAGTGCGTGGCCCCTGATCTGCAAACACAGAGTGGTCTCTGCGGGTGGAAAGATGTTATTGGTTCTAAGAACACGCAATTAATATTTCCACCGTGTCTATCGGAATCCTCCTTAACAAGTGCCATTAAATGCACTGAGGCCACAAATAGCCACTCGCGTGGAGCGGATCAGGATGGCGGAGACAGTGTTAACTGGGGGAGTGGAGCCGTGATGTCTCCGTAGAGTGCGGTCCCGATCCTGCAGGGAAGGTGGGAGGCCTGGAAGTTGGGGGTTATTTCTGATGTGCATGTTTATCCTCCCCCTGTTCATCCTCAGGACTGCCCTGCAGGTTGGGCTAAGCAGAACCATGCGGTGTGTTAAGGTACTACCGTGGTTCTTCAGCGGAATTCATTCATTCATTCATCCCCCTGCCTCTGATTTCGGGCAGGAATTGGAAAAAACAAGGGTCGGGGGGAGAACCAGTCCCCATTTTTAACTTGGGAAGTTTGGTCTCCCCCACAGTGGCTTCTCAGGCCACTGGTCTGCTGCCCGGCCCCCAGCCCCAGCCCCCCGAGGACCTCCTGGCTGAAATCCCTGGTCCAGCGTCTCTCGGGGCCCGCTTTGCCCATCGCATGAAGCTGCAGCGCGGCTCCTTCCGTTGTGGTTTCGCCTTGCGATGCGAGCCGTGCCAGACTCCGGCCCGGACTCTGGCCCGTCCTCTCGTTCCAAGCCCCGCTGGGCAGATTCCCTGCAGTGGGTCAAACCAACCTGGGCTTAGCGCAGCTGGGGAGCCCCACCGAGGGTGGCTCATTCACCCAGCCCTGGGGGAGCAAGCCGAGGCTCGGGGCACGGTGGCG